AGCAGCAGCAGCAGCAGCAGCAGCAGCACTCACTGCACGGCCACGCAAATCTTCTGGCTCGATTGGCCCCACCGCCGCCGTTGACTCAAGTGCGGCTCGGCTTTCATCGCTTTGGGGCTTTGGATAGCCTCGCCCGTTCTTCCTTGGTCCTCCTCCACGTCCATCCACCATCCGACTCCTCTCGCCATCACTCGGATCCCATCGCAGTCGCAATCTTGGCAAGATCCATCGACGCCTACCGCAACTCGCTCACACCGGATCTCTCTCCCGCAACAACCTCGAAGCGCGAAGCTCCATTCCAGACGGGCTCGCAGTCGGTCCGCGCTTTCTCGCTTCACGCTTTCGTACTCGGCTCCTCGCAACGCAACGCTCCACCCCCCTTCCGCTCGCCTGGTGAAAGCCGCGACCCGCTGTCACAGTCATGCCTGCTTCCAACGCCCCCGCTTTCGACAATGACACCATCATCGTAGGTGAGTATTGGAAGCGCGTTCCAGTGTCGCTTCGTTTCCGGCTGCAGCTCAGACCTACTCACCGTCTCTCTCCTTCTTCCTCCCCGTGCGCGTATCGATCGCTACTCACAGTCCTCGGCGCTTCGGGTGATCTCGCCAAAAAGAAGGTTCGTATTCAAAGCTGAGCTCTCCGCGTGGCACAGCCTAGCTGACATTCCTATCCTCCTCTTCCTCACTCGCCTCCGCTCTTGCAGACCTTCCCGGCGCTCTTCAACCTCTTCCGTCTGGGCTTGCTGCCCAAGACCACACACATCATCGGCTATGCACGCACCAAGATGGACCGCGACACCTTCGCCGAAAAGGTGACCGGCCACCTCAAGAACGTCGATGACGACCAAGGCAAGAAGGACGTCGACAGCTTCCTCAAGATCTGCCAGTACATCTCGGGCCAGTACGACGAGGACGAGTCGTTCCAGAACCTCAACAAGGAGATGGAGCGCATCGAGTCCGAAAAGATGAAGCACGACGCTCCCAGCCGCCTCTTCTACATGGCGCTGCCCCCCAACGTATTCACCGTGGTGGCCAAGGGCCTCAAGAAGAACTGCTACTCGGACAAGGCCAACAACCGCATCGTCATCGAAAAGCCCTTTGGCAAGGACCTCGAGAGCAGCCGCGAGATGATCGGCGCGCTCAAGGGCCTCTGGAAGGAGGAGGAGACCTTCCGCATCGACCACTACCTCGGAAAAGAGATGGTCAAGAACCTGCTCATCATGCGCTTCGGCAACCCCTTCATCGACGCCGGCCTCAACAACAAGCTCGTCGACAACGTCCAGATCACCTTCAAGGAGCCCTTTGGCACCGAGGGCCGCGGCGGCTACTTTGACGAGTTTGGCATCATCCGCGACATCCAGCAGAACCACCTCTCGCAGGTGCTCTCGCTGCTCGCCATGGAGCGTCCCAAGTCCTTCTCCGCCGAGGACATCCGCGACGAAAAGGTGCGCGTGCTCAAGGCCGTGCCCGCCATCCAGGAGAAGGACGTGCTGATCGGCCAGTACACCGCCGCCAACGGCAAGCCGGGCTACAAGGACGACGACACGGTGCCCAAGGACTCCAACTGCCCCACCTTCGCCGCCATGGCGCTCTACGTCAACAACGAGCGCTGGAAGGGCGTCCCCTTCATCCTCAAGGCGGGCAAGGCGCTCGACGAGGCCAAGGTGGTGATCCGCGTGCAGTTCAAGGACACGCCGCAGGGCCTCTTCAAGGACATCCCGCGCAACGAGCTCGTCATCCGCATCCAGCCCGACGAGGCCGTGTACCTCAAGATGAACTCCAAGAAGCCCGGTCTCGAAATGGCCACGCTGCCGGCCGACCTGGACCTGACGTACAAGGAGCGCTTCTCCGAGGTGCGCATCCCCGAGGCGTACGAGGCGCTCATCCTCGACGCGCTCAACGGCGACCACTCCAACTTTGTGCGCGACGACGAGCTCGACGTCTCGTGGGCCATCTTCACGCCGCTCCTCCACGCAATCGATGCGGGCAAGATCAAGAACGAGCCCTACGAGTACGGCAGTCGCGGGCCCGCCGCGCTCAACGACTTTATCGCTCGCTACGGCTACCAGCGAACCAACGAGTCGTACGAGTGGCCCACCACCAACGTCAAGAAGGTCCAAGGAAAGATGTAAATACGCAACGCAACCCAACCTGGACCCCTGGATCGGATCTGCGAAGATTGCGTCTCTAGCCCGGTGTCCAACTTAGCAGCCGCTGTCCAACTTAGCAGCCGCCACTTCGCCGTTCCATGTCTGAATGTCATGCTATGCTTCTTTGAGTCTTTGTAGCGGCCGAAGTGTTGTGCAGCAGACGTCGAAATTAGAGAGATGGCTGGGGCTGAGTAAGGCTCGCATGAAGCCTCGCAAGTCAAAATCGGTGACGGACCTCCACCTGCTGCTGCTGCTGCTGCTGCTGC